CAACAACACTGTAAAACATATTTTTTTCTATATATATATATATATATACATATATACATATACATATACATATACATATACATATACATATACATACACACACACACTTATTTGTAAATCTCTTCACAAAATGTGTCAAAATTCAAGATTTCAAAATAAGATCCAATCTTTGAAGTCTTGGTGACTAATTTAATCAAAAACAGTAAGTAGGTAAATTCCTTTTTTTTCCCCCGACTGGTAAATGGTTGCTTTTTTTCCCCTCCCCCTCTCTGATAAATTAATATACAATAAACTATTTTCTATCTGCTGGTATGTGTAAGATAAGTCTCACCTGAAATCGTTTTCCAATTACTCCTATATTCCCTGTTTGGTGTGAACCTATAGAATGTAAAAACCACAGTTATTTATTAGCGTGTGCAGACTAACTTCTGACCTAAACAGAAACCTGCACACACTTAAACGTGTCATAAATTTTGCATAAAATGAAATACAAGATTTTTTATGGTAACAGTTCAGTCTTATAAATTTTATTGACATGAGGAAAACATTGGGATAATGTTTAAATACTCTACACAATAAAGTTATTAAACATGCACATGTAAAATATAATATACTGTACATAAATATTACATTGTGGGAAAGAAAATAATGTCTAGCTGGTCTAATTTCTGAAGCAGTGTCTGTGTGTTTAAGATTTAGTTTGACCCCAAAACCACAACTTGAGATGCCCTCTAACTGAGACAAACCTGAAGTTTATAGTGCAAGAAAAGACACTTAATGGAAATTAATGGAATGCTCGACTCATAGCAGGTGTGGGTCTCTTCAGTATGGCCTCCACAGAGAAGGACAAAGACTCACTGGACGCCATCTTGGTCCCTACAGGCTTAGACAGAAAGTCTTTGGCGTACCTGTCTGTGATTTTAATAGCCTGAATGTCCTTGGCGGAGCCCTCCCTGATCTTGCGGGCAGCCTCCTCTAAAAGCTCTTTGCAGTATGGAGCCCTGAGCTCCGGCCCGGCCCCGCCGCTCGTTTTTTCGCTCAGCGAGTGCTGGATGAGGGAGTGAAAGGAGTTGAGTTTCATGGAAAGCTTATTGCTGTCCTTGCTCAGCTTGTTCAGGACTTGGCTGGAGTTTTGGGAATGAGAGTTGTTGGGGAAGGATTGTCCAAAGCTCCTCTTGGGTGGAGAGAAGGCTGAGCACTCCCTCTGCCCCCCCTGAGTGACACCGGGGGGCTTGGGATCAACCCGATGAGGGTCTGACAAGTCCTGCAGCGCAGCGGCTCGGGATCCTTCCAGTTTAGCAGTGATAGCGGCCGCAGCCTCCTGCTCGGGCGGCTGGCTCTCGGCTGGCATTACCTTAGGCTCCCACACCGCACCGGGCTTCATGTTCTGCACAGCTGTGGCATTGAACAGGCACTGCTGGTAGAGCAGGGCATCACCCAGGTTGGCTGCACTGCGGGGCCACATCATGAAGCCGCCTCGTGATGGCTGCAGCGGGTAGTGGCGGTAGGTGGTGGCCACGCTGACGTTGGACGAGATGAGCTCCACGTTGGCCGAGCCGGCGGGGTACTGCATGGACAGATCCAGGCAGTTAGGGCCGAGGAAGTTGCACAGCTCTTTGGGCTGTGGCTCAGCCTGTGCTGCTGGTGAGTACGCCGTCTTGTAGTTGTACTCTGCGGCGTGGTGGACCATGTTGTTTGGGAAGAGGAGCGAAGCTGTGGCCGCCTGGCTGTTCTCCAGCAGCTCTCGTTCTTTGTACTCCCGCTCCAGCATGATGGTTTCCAGCTCCTTGTCAGCAAAGGCCCTTCTCTTCCTCATGCGATCGCTTAGCGGTGGGGGGAGGGACGGATTGGCCGCCAGGAACGGATCAGACTGCACCGGACGGTATCCTGTCATCAAAAGAACCCGCATTTAATTCAAATGTGTTTATGACAGTCGGTGTGTTTTAGATTACAGCTGATGTCAAGCATGCATGCAGAAACGTCCACAGCACTTGTCCACAAACATGCAGTTTTTCACTATGAATATAAACCATGCTCAATAATTAAACAATCTTTGTATGTTGGGATAGTGCTGGACATGATAAAAAGTGAACTTATTGCATGCCAAAAATTGTTATCAAGTCACTGCTTACAGATGTTAACAAGTCCTTCTCACTGTTTGGTGTTTAATGAAAGATATAAATCCAAGACAAGCTACAAGAGAAACGGAGGTTTTATCAGAGTTAAACGGAGAAAGACGTTGAGCCAAGAGAAACAGAAAAAGATCAGAAACATCCAACGCAAAGAAATAAAACATGTTTCTTTTTGTCAGATCTATGGCCTTGTTACCTTCGAGGATGCTTTTGGCGAGCATGGTGGATGGTCGAATATGTCGCTGATATATTGTCCTTCTCTCTGCTGGAATTTGTTTCCCAGATATTCCTTTTTTATCCTGATTGAGAAAACAAAAAAAAATGAGTAAAGACGTGCTCTTAGGATGTTTTGCTTGACCCTTTAAAAGTGCCTGATTTGTCACAGGTAAAGTCACATGTGGATAATATAATCCAACGTCTTAATTATCTGCTTAAAACATGGGTCATGATACTGTTTGAGTAATAAAAATTGTCTAAAAGATTTGTTAAAGCAGGATCACCATGTTTAGCAACTGAACATGAGATGTAGGCCTACCAATTATCTTAAAGAAATTATGTTATTTTAAAGATACAAAAATTAAAGCAATTACAGTACATTGAACAGTTTTACAACTAAACTTGATTGCACTACTGCAGACTGCAATAAACGTTATACATTCAACTTGACTGGTCAAGAAACAACCACATATAGCTTGTCACACATCACACCCCACACACACACACACAAAACAGAAAAACGTCCATCTGGTACCATCTTTTAAATATCAAAGCTGACGTGGTTTATTATTTTACCGCAGACGTTCTCAAATATTTGAATGTCACCGCAGTCAAAACACACACATATTATAGGCACAGCCCCCAAATAGGTATGATTCTGCTATGAAGAGAACAAATGGGGAAATTTGTAAAGATCAGACAGTGAGAGCCACGTGTTATCAGAATCTGATAAGTGGTTTAAATAAACTTTTAAATTGTATTAAATAATTACTGTTTACTAGCTGGGACATTAACATTAAGAACCCCTCAGGGATCGACTTTTCCATGTTCATTCAGTCAAATAATGGGGGGGGGGGGGAATAGTAAACATTAAATAACTACATTCATTATTAAATAAAACTAAAACTAACCCTGTATCCAAAATTAGAAGTTTAAGTTTGGCTGAAAAAACCAAACAGTATTTCTTTAAGTGGCTAATGCTTAAAATCAATACAGTGACTTAAAGGTGGCTGAAGGAAGAGTCATCATGTCAGGATTGTAATTCTGTCACACTCAATATCAGGGGCACAAGAAGGCCGTACACTATCCGCTGCTCAGGCTCTTTGATTTCTTCACTGAGATCGTTTACCTAAATACGCCAGTTATCTCTACTGATATCTGAAAAACTTTCGCCTTTTCAGGCTTAGTGCCATAAATTGTACCCTTGAGGTTGACTACAATATGAAGACATGGACAATTATGAAGATTACTTTAGTAAGTATTACAGTCGGTGATAATTTATTGGAAGAACAAGCTTAAATTCAGTCACATTCTAGGAACCAAACACTCAGTGTTGTTGGAAGAGCCATAAGCCTGCCTCACATATATACATATACAGTCACCTTATGATAATGACAATGTCATTTATTGTTATGCCATTTGTTGGGGAATATACTGTAGCTATGTTTTAACGACATTCTTGCATGTTTAGCATGGATTTTCCCCTGCAGTTGCTGTGTAGGAATTAGGAATTTGACCCAGTCTGTACAAATAGGAGGGACTGGATTCAAAAAGCAAATAAAGGCAGATTTATGACAGGCAAGATCAACATCTCCTGGAAATCCCTACAGCAAAAGAAAAGAAAAAAAAAATACTTTAAAAGGGCAACCAGAGGTCTGAAAATAAAACTGGAGGCTTCTTAATACAACCTCAAATCTGAATACACTTTGTTACGCTTCAAATAAATAAAGTTAAATCTCTTTTAGTGCGGGGTCTTGTTGATTAGCGGCTGAATAAAAGCACTTGAATACATGAACACTACCCTGTCTTTATAGTTTACGAATGCCATTTGAAGGCAGCAACATAGCACGGGCACACACACACACACACACTACACACACACACACACACCCCGGGCCTACCTCCGTGGCTTGCTGCCTCCTCAGGGCCACCTGCGCCGCCATCACCCGCTGTCTCTCCACCACCAGCAGGCAGTTGGCGCACTGGCAGTCCCTCCAGCGGCAGAAGCGCTTGTGTCCCTTCAACAGGACACTACGCCGTGGTTGCGACAGCGGGCGCACTTCGGCGTCCGGCTCAGCTTCCTCTGGTCCCCCGTACACAGGCCGCTGGGGCCCGGCTTATCGTCGCTCTTGCTGCCGTCTCCGTCGTCCTCGGAGGCGGCGGGGCCGAGAGACGCGGAGCCGGGGCGGCTGGAGGAGTCCGCCAGGTCGTCGCTCTCCGTCTCCAGGCTCTCCACGTCGATTTCAAACTCGCAACCGGCGTTGTCTGACATGTCTGCCCGAGTCCTCCGCCGGCTGTCTTTTCACCCAGTTTATGTCTGGAGACAAACATTATTTATTAAGACCTGTTAATGGCGGCGTTGATATGGTACTTTAATAATACAAATCACTCCACATCACCTCCTGTCCAAAAACTTTAGGAATAATAATAATAAAGCTTACATATTATTCCATTAATGCCCAATAACCAAGCTTGACTTCTTTTAATAAGAGTGTAAATTATAGATTATTTTTTAAATCTAAGATCAACTAAACATTTTTCACACAAACAAGAAAACCATAAATGACATTTCTTTTGATAAAAGATATATTTTTTATTAACCTACAAAATATAGCCTACATAAAAATAAAGAGGAAAAGTCTAGAAAGTACACAGCAGAAAAAAAGCTTTACTCAGACCTATCATTACACTCTCCCATCGATAGATATCTATATTGGACATATAGCAATATAATTCCTGCAATTTAATATTATACCGAGGACCTGCCTGTAGTCTACAACTCAATTAAAATATTAACACCTATTATTGGAAGCCTGAAACAAATCACACCAAAAGCCCATTACACATACAGTCCAATGATTTATCACATCTGTCCATTAATAGTCGAACCACACTTCGTCTGACTGAGCCCAGAAATGTCGCCTAACAGTCGGGTTGAGTTGCATTTAATCGGTTATTTCATGCATACATTTGGCCAAACCTCATAGAGTTCAGTAGCACACAGTTCATTTTTTTTGTCTTCCCAAAACTTCCGCAAACTGACCTGCAAATTAACACAAAACATAAGAGCTCCATTTACCTCCAGAGGATGTTTCAGCGGTGTGTCCGCAGTTTCACAGCAGTGCGGTGAAAGTGGCGCACACGTGGTAATAGCCTGCGGTGATGAATCGCAAACACGCAGTCCAGACTCCTGAATAATCTTGTAATTAGCTGTTAATTGAGTGCATGAGTGAGTGCAGCGCCCTGAACACATCCAAGTTTCCTCTGAGGCTGAAACACAGAGCGCCACTCCTATGAGCGGCTCCAGTCTGCGCTCTCTGCCCTCTGATTGGCTACTTCTCAACACGCACCGACCAATAGGATTAGGAGCAGTTACTCTGACAGGGAGGGGGGGGCGTTATCCTAGTAACGGTTACCAGTAATCTCATTACTTTTCAATAGTTACAGTTCCCTTTTTCGGTTCCTATATTTCCTGATTAGTTCAAAACAGCAGCAGTGAATACACTCATGGCTCCTTTGTCTGTGGATGAACATAATGAATCTTTTTTTAGTTTACAACCGGAGAGGAAACTGTTTTTACTTATTGTATTAATGAGGCTGCTGATTTATTACTGAACAACCAGAACAAACAGAACAACACCTGCCAACAGGTAAATTAGACCCTAACTCATATTACATTGAGGGGGAAACACAGGCCTACAGTGCCCTTTTCAAAATGTCCAAGTATTTCATAATCCAACATATTTATTTTCAATTCATTCACCTGAATCCAAAAATTGCTGAAATAGGCTAAGGATCCCCTTTACAAAGGCACCAATATAGCTCATTAAAAACTGCTTAAATAAATAGGATATTCCGTATCAGTATGCAAATCTCTTGAAAAACAGTCTATTATTAAGGTATTAGTGACACCAGCAATGTAAAAAAACAAAGACCAAGGTCACTAGCCATAGGCCTACTGTAAGTCCCTATTAGCAGTGATAATAAGCACATCATGCATACAGTGTATGTAGTAGTAGCCTGTATTGACACAGATTAAACAGAGCTGCCCCAGAGAAAGTCAACAGGTGACAAATGTGTCCTGCAGGTTGTTACAGTCTGTCCTTCGTCCTCTCCTGCCAGAACTACTGCGGATGATTACAATGTTTTCACAACAATCACACCTGAAAAAAAAACACCACATCAGCATTACCTATATAAAAACAAACCCGACCTTAAATATACACAGCCTTCAACTCATCCTAAATCCAAGTATCCCCTTCTTAAACCCCCCCTAGAAATCCCAAATCCTAAAAACCCTTAACTTTAACCCTTATTTCAAACCATGCCCCAAACCAAAACCCCTTACAATTATAAGAAACATTAACCCTTACCTATAATAGATAATAATCCTAAATATCTAAATAATACCTAAAAATCCTATTTTTAACCTTATATTTCAATATAAACCCCATAAAATAACGTTATCACATTTTAATCTTTCTATCATAAAAAATGTTTTAATTTGCTTTTATATAAGGCTACGTATAAATAACTCAGAAATATTAAAATTCTATTAAAAATATGAAATAATAGCCTTATTAAATTCGATATTTTTTACAGTTTATGCAAGGAAGGTGTGTGTGTGTGTGTGTGTGTGTGTGTGGTTTTCACTCTCAGGACTTTAACAGAGGAATGTGGATAACTTTACTTTCTCTGTTTGGCTGTTTGTTTGCAGCCTGCTGACTGAAGTCCTGACTCAGAATAGAAAAAGAGACATCGCAGCATTTACTCAGTGCCAACGGACTTCCATGGGAACTGACAGCGGGACAATGCACACATACACATACTGTAGCGTGAACATACTCTGTTGACTTTGACCCTTTGTCCGCTTATCTCCTCGTAATGTCAAATTAATGAACAAAGCGCAGTTTTAAAAAAAGGAGGAATATTGTTCCATTCAAAATAAAGGTCGGGTGCTTACCTCTTTTGTCCTGCTTGAATCCGGCTCGGCAGGAAAATCTGATTCACGCAAAAACAAAAATAAAACTAAAAACAATAAAGACTACAGTGCAATAGATTAAAATTAAAATCTACAGCCTCCTCAGTGCTGGACGCCTTTGTGGCAGTTTAATCTAAATTATTGTCTTAATTTTAGATCGTATAGCCTACTTTCTATTTCTTTTTATATCAAGGACACGAAGGAAAATAATTCCTTTATTAACCTTATGAGGGATAGTGTGTGGTATCCTGGTCAGTAGTGATTTTTACTGTAACGTTTGGGCTGTTTCTTCTTTTTTTAATAATGTCTCTAATAGCCTACAGTAATGAACAGGACCAACAGCGAGGCTTTTATAAATGTCTTATAATGTTCTTCCATGACTATATTAGGCCTGTTTCTTTTCTGTTCTATAATAAAAAATAATGATAGTAGGGCTCTACTTGTACAACAACATGTTTATTGGATTGTCGTTTTTATTAATCTTATATGATATCTAGGCCTCTATTGAACAGCGTGCTTTTTTGTAATTTTATCCTCTTTCTTTTTTATTTTAATAAATCATTTTAGCTCTGGAGTTGTTTTTTTTTCAGATTTGCAGACTTTAATTTAATCAGAAACCATTACTTTTGTCTTCTAAAACTCGTCCCTCCATGTCTTTCTGTTCTTTTTTTTTTCTCCAGATGAGGACAGTGTCTCTTAACGGGTCCTCCATGTGTTGGAGGTGAAGACGTCAGGCCTGCAGGTGCAGCTTTATTTGCCACTTCGTCTTAATTTATTACGAAGGTTACGAGCGGCCACCCCGGGCTGCCGTTTCCACATCAGGAATGCTTTGATGTTGAGAGCAGGCTGGACGGTGGGACAGGAGGATCCGCACACAGTGGGACCCTCCAGGTGAAATGTGTTGTCTGTGTCCATTATGGCTCAAGCAGTGTGGGGCAGTGTGGGGCAGGGGGCCCTCCAGAGGTCCTTGAACGTGTTTCCAGGGGTCTTTTAGGATATTCCAGGGACATGTCAGAGGGTCTTGGGGAATCTAGAAGAGGCTCAGGGGGACTTTTAGTTGGTTGAGTATTTAAGGTCGTTCCGAGGGTCTTTCAAAAGGGAATACATGTATTCCTCAGTTCCTGTGATTCTTGAGGAGTTCCTATGGGTCTGTAAATGGACCCCATAGGTTATTGAATGAGTTTCTGGGTCTTTGCAGGGGTCTGGCGAATCTTAAGGTGATTCCAGGCAGTCTTGAACTAGTTTCAAGGGGATTTGAAATGATCCTTCAACCTTGCGAGGCAGCTGGACTTTATAAATTATGCAACAAGGGATGCAAGGCTTCGGGCTATGAGCTTGTGTCCAATCACAGCAGTTCAGACCAATGAGGAGCTACTGGCGGTTAGGGCATGAGCTACTGGCATTGTTCAACACTAGGTGTGTGTGTTCAAAAACAACAATGTCAGCAACTAAAGAGGTTGGAGTAAATGCTGCCCACATCTCTTATATCACAACTGGAAAATATTTCTTAATTAAAAGAGAAAAGAGTGGCACTGAAGGCTTTTCTCAATGGAAAACATTTCTTTCTTTTCCCAAGTGGCTTAAATAAGAGTTTAATTATATGTTCAATGGTTTGTTGAAGTATACCTGTGATAGACGGTGATAGACAGACGCTTCATCCAATCACCTGCTGAGTATAGTTTGAAAGTGTCTGCCCTTTTCCAGGCAGTTTACAATGGCAACCAACCACAGGTGGTTCTGTGTAACAAACTCTCTGGCAGAGTCAGGTTAATGATCTTTGAGGAGCTTCTAGGAATCCATCAAGGGGTTCTGAGCATTATTGGACGAGTTTCAGTCTTTACAGGGGTCTGGACATCCTCAAGGTGGTTTTCAGGGGATTGGAGGGGTTCCAGACGTTATTGTGTTATAAGTGGTCTTTGCAGGGGTCTTGATATTTTTTTTTTTTTCAGGTTCTATAAAAAGGTTTGAGAATCATTGAAAGAGATGCAGGGATCTTTGAAGGGGTTCAGGGGTCCTTAAGGGGAATCCAGGCAAAAGTGTCTCTGAGGGAATCCAGGAATCCTGGACAGGTTTCCATGGATACTTGAAAGGATTCCAGGCATTACTGAAGGAATTCAGTGAGGGTCCAGGGAACTTTTGGAAGTTTGGAGGGATCCTTGAATGGATTCCATTTCCAGTCTTTCTGGATCCAGGGATCCTTAAATAGATTCCAGGCCTTTTTTATTAAGTTGCGGGGGTCTTCAGGCTGTCAAGGGATTCTGGATGAGTATTCGGGGATTCTTTAAGGCAGTGGTTCTCAACCATTTTGGTGTCAAGGACCCCCAGATTGATTGATTGGCCATTTCTTCTGCCCTAGAACCCCCTCAGGGACCCCAGGTTCAGAACCACAGCTTTAAAGGGGTTCCAGACATTACTAAAAGTGATCCTTGAGATGTTTCATGGATCCTTGAATGGATTCAGCTGCTAGTCATTAGAAGGGTCTTGAAATCCTTGAATTGATTCCAGGTCTTACTGAAGTTCTAAGCCTTCCCAAAAATGTCTGTTTTAAAAAAAACCTTTTCAAAGTTCCCACAGATCTTTGAATAGATCCCAGGCATTATGATGCGAAAATAAAGAGTATCTATTAATGTGCAGGATATTCAAAGTATTCTAAAAACCATCATAACATTTTTTTAATTTATAGTGATAGTAAGATTATTATAGAACAAAAATACCACTGTGACTTTTTAAATGAATTATGTAGTTTGCTTTGCAGGCCTAGCTCCACCCTTTCATTTGTATTCTCTAAAACAATGGCATGTCTGTCTAAAATGTAGTATTACTGGCTCTTTATCTTACTGTTTATTTAGGGTGTTGTCTATGAAAATTACTCAATACATAGGCTTGAACTGATGATATATTTTAATGGGCACAACCTGGAGAAAGACACAGACACATAATGACACTTTCTCACACGCTGTCAAGTTTACTTTTGGGGTTGATTGAAACAACAGCATCTTGTTGGAAGTGTCCCGCTGTGCAGGCCGTAAAATGTAACTGGAGCTGTGTATAGACAGAAGAGCAGATTGGGATCACTGGGGATCCTGTTATGTTAATTAGCCTCTGATGGACCAACAACACATGTAGCTGAATACAAAACCAGGCGGGACAACATTTGTCTCTGTCTGAAGGAGTCTGACACCTCGACCTCTCATGGCTAACGTGCAACAAACAGGAGGACGTGTCTTTCAGCTGTGGAGGAAGTATTCAGATGCTTTGCTTAAGTACTAATACCACACTGTAAAAATACTCTGTTACTAGTACAAGTCCTGCTTTGAAAATGTTACTTAAGTAAAAGGAAAATTGACTTAAAGTATTATACAGTTATATATTATATCATTAGATTATAATTACTTATACATTAATATGGGAGCAGGATTTTACAGTTGTAGTTGGTTACGATGGAGCTAGTTGTGAACTATCTTCTATAGGTCTGCAACAAAATGTTTCATTTTGGGTTAATCCACTGATTATTGTCTCAAAATCGATTTGATTGATTGTTTAGTTTGTAAAATTATTGTTTTGACCAGAATTATTTATAATAAATTAAAATAATGAAAATGAAGCAGTTTGTGAAACAATTTAATTTATAACTTATCTTCAAAATTGCTGCCATTTATTTTCTGTCAATCAGTAATCAATTAATAACTGATCCTTTCAGCTCTCAGTGCTATACACTTACACTGTAGGCCCCAAGATGACAGAAAATATACAATTGTGCCCACTGGGTGGCAGACTGGAGCAGGTAAACGTGGTCAGCTTTATCTTGAGTGAAGCAAACAGCATAAACAGCATATATAGAAACTTTAATTACAAAGTTAAATACAAACACAGTTTCTGCTTTAAAGCCGTTGGTCTGGGAGAAATGTAGAAAGAGTGATAAAATAAAAGATTTTACCCTCAGGAAGAACTGCTGAGGTGCCTTTGAGCAAGGTTTAGGAATAAAAGGAGAAAAAAAAATTAAAAATCCAGTCATAAAAACACAACATGAATTCTAAAACCCTCTTTATGAGGATTTTTCTTGTTTGTCTGATATATATGTATATATAGCAGTATGTGACATAAACATGATATGGATGAATTTCACCACTAGATGGCAGCATTTGACAAGTTTAAACCAAAGGAGAAAAACTGTTAGTGCTGCAGACTGCAAGATAAAGATTCTGGCGTTTGTTGTGGCCATGATGGAAAGTACTGTACTTAACTACCTTAAATTATACTTGAGTCTTTGCATTTTCTACTACTTTATATTTCTGCTCCATCACAATTCTAACATTACAAATATTGTACTTTTGAGTTATAAAATACATTTTAGTAGAGTAAAGTTACTTTGCAGATTCAGATTAATAATATAAAACAACACATAACTTGTGTTGTAATATTATAGATTAGGATAATTATAATTATAATTAATAATTATAAACTAGTAATATACATTGTTCTGAACTGGACCATTCTGTATAATGAATACTTTTACTTTTAGTACTTTAAGCATATTTTGATGTTAATACTTGTGTTCTTTCACTTATAGTAATATTTCGAATACAGAAATTTTACCTGTAACAGTATTTCTACACTGTGGTATTGCTACTACACACACACACACACCATTTAAAGTCGACTGAAACAGTGTCTCATAATGTGATGCAAAGTCAGTGAATCTAAATATTAGGGGGTGAACAGAGTTAGCAAACTTTTATATTTTAAATATTAAGTTCTGATTGTACAAATCTGTATTTTAAGTGAAAGTTAAATAGACGGCTCTGGGCATTTGCAGCAAGAAATGGGAAAACTTTTCATGAACTAACTGATAAAGCCTGGTTAAATAAATCACTGATAGAGTGTAGAAACACAATTACATTAATAATTATTAATAGAAATAGTAACTAATTATTATTAATTACTAATAAGCCCTTTACTTAGAGGACTTTAAGCACTAAAGGAATCAGAACATCTAAATAAGTCCCCAGTTAAGTAAGTTGTGGGGATTTCAGCAGAGTGTATCTGCTTGTGTCATCAATGTATCAGGAGTTAACTGAGCCGCTGGCTGACT